TTCCTCTACAGTCAAAAATCTGGGTGTTATATTAGGCAGCAACTTGTCTTTTGAAAGTCATATTCCCCATGTTACAAAAACAGCATTCTTCCATCACCATTTTACAGTCTCTGCACTGGCTACCTATTAAGTTCCGTATCAGTTACAAAATATTATTACTTGCCTATAAGGCCATTAATGGCTTAGCTCCTGCGTACCTAACTAGTCTTCTACCACGCTACAATCCATCACGCTCCCTAAGGTCACAAAATTCTGGACTTTTGGTAGTACCTAGGATAGCAAAGTCCACTAAAGGAGGTAGAGCTTTTTCACATTTACACAAGCTTCAGTCTGGATTCAGAACACTTGAGAAGAGATGATGCCAACCCCTCAGAGAACCTCAGATGATGCCAACCCTGAAACAACATACAGAACTACCACATTTTGCTATAAGTTTGATTGCATCATATAATAATTGCTGTTAATAGTTTTCATTGTCTGTTTGATTACGTCTTTAACTGATTTTTCCGTAAATTTCTGCCATATGTACATTAGCTGACAGTCACCACTGATAAGCTACCACTAAATATTGTAGAAACTTAATTTGCTGTAAAGTTGCTTTGCAATGATTTGTATTGTGAAAAGCGCTATACAAATAAACTTGAATTGGATTGAATTGAATTGTGTCAGATAATTATGAAATGATGATGTCAGAATAATTCTTGTTTGCTAATTTTTGACCTAAAAATGTCATGTTTATTGTTTTTTACTTCATTGGAATGGTACGGTTTTGGCTCTTGCTATGTGAACACAGAACACACATGGACATGATTCAGAAAGGTCAAATGATCCTGAAAAAAAACGTCACACTTGTACTGGTCACAGTCAAAATGAACTGCACTGGAAACACATGGCAAGCTAATTTCATCTATAGAGGAATAAACGTTTGGTACGTCTGACCCAAACAAAATCTCATATTTTTGCTATATCAACCTCAAATTTAAACCGCAAAATTGTTTAGATTCGTGGCTTTTATTTTCATGCCGTTTTGGAAAATAAATTATTTCATAGGCCTATACAGTTTTAAAATAGTCTTTTTTTTTGCATATATCATATGAATAAACTTCAATAACTTATTTTGTTTAGCTTTTTATACTTTTTTTCACTTAGCAATAATCTGCCAAGTGTCTGCTTTAAAAAGAGAGCACACTTAAACTGAAGTCTGTGTTCCAATGCGATTTAGCACAGTTTAAGTTGATCATTTCATTTTCAGGTCAATGCTCAAAAAGTGGATAACAGGTAATAAATGGATCATAACTGTTCCATAAATAAAAATGAGTACCATAAAACTACAAAATATACCATAAATATACCTTAAAAAAATACAAAATATAGTTAAAATAAATTCAATTCTCAGTTTAAGTACACGTGATTCTTCCATAGACTGTATAAAAACATGGACGTAGTGTCCGTGACGTCACCCGTAGGTTTCTGAAGAGCGTTTTTGAAGCTCAAAGTGGGTGGAGCCGACCGTCGCCATCTTGGCAGCGTGTCACTCCTGGATAATCGAAAATGGGCAAAGAGGCGGGAGCTGGTTGCTGAAACCACGCCCACCTAGCTCGACGGTGGTGACGGCAGCGACAATCCATCTGTCACTCAAGTGGTCCTTAATTATGCAGAAATTTAAGGCTTAATATAATTTAAATGGATGAGTTATAAAAAAAGTCACCCCCTCACAGTTGTCATGAAGGGCAAAATTAGCTATATAGACCAAAACCACTTTTTGTACCAGGCTGTAAACACATTTCTTTCAGCTGTAAAGTTGGGCGTTTTAACATGGGGTGTCTATGGGACTGACTCACTATTGGAGCCAGCCTCTAGCGGCCAGTTGATGAATTGCAGTTTTAGTCACTTCCGTGTTGGTTTCACGAGAGAGAGCGGGAGGTTGCTGCTTGGATTCTTGGGTGGGGAAGGGGCGGGGTCAAATAGTCCTGCCACCACTGCTGCAAAAAATTCTAGAGTATATTTTATCCTAGTAATGTTTAATTTGTATCAGTTTAACGCTTCTCATAGCTATGTGAAAAATATCTGTCTGTCTATACACATAAAGTGTATAATTGGAACACAGTTCATTGATGGAGCTGAATCAGGAGAGAGAGATATGCAGAGTAGGGGGATGCAAGGAACAGGATTAAGAACTGCTGCTTTAGAACATTGATTTTGAAACTTGTGAATCCATTAGAATCTTTAGAAGACAGAATCGTGATTCATAAATGAACAGATTATTTCGTGCACCCCTAGTTTTGATGGCATGGCAACAACTCTTCCTCTTCTCTAAAGCAGTGCAACATGGACCCGCCCCCTTCGTTGCATGTTCCTGGGGGCAGGGTTTATGTACATTTCAGGGTTTGTGATGTCACTAACCCAGGAAGTAGCTCGTTGTAGTCCCTACCAGCTGTAACTGTAGGCATTAAACTGCCATAACTTTAAAAGACAATATCTACGTTTGCATTGAACTTTCAACGTCGTAACTTTACAGATATTGTTTATGCTCAAACAGCAACGTTATACACTAACTAACGTTTAAAAAATTTAAATCACAATCGACCACCCCTTTAATGAAAATGTACTCTTTTTACTTTTGTTTCAGTGTGGATTGAAGACAACGAGGAGAAAGAAGAATTGAGTGAAGTTGAGGATAAAAATCATGCCAAAAGTGGAGAAAAACCCAAACTGAAAGATTTAAAGAAAAGAAGGACCAGGAAACCTTTCACCTGCACTCAGTGTGGAAAGAGTTTCACAGACAAATGTCTTCTTGAGCTTCACATGAACATTCACACTGGAGAGAAACCGTTCACTTGTGATCAGTGCGGGAAGAGCTTCTCACGATCATCAACCCTCAAGAATCACATGAACATTCACACTGGAGAGAAACCGTTCACTTGTGATCAGTGCGGGAAGAGCTTCTCACGATCATCAACCCTCAAGAATCACATGAACATTCACACTGGAGAGAAACTGTACACATGTGATCAGTGCAGAAAAACATTTTTGTGGGATTTAGTCCTGAAGCAGCACCTGAGAGTTCATACAAAGGAGAAGCCACATTCATGTCATTTGTGTGGAAAGAGTTTTTCATTACTACACCATTTGAAAAAACATCAGAAAACACATACTGGTGTGAGAGAGTACATGTGCTTTGAATGTGAGAAGACTTTTACTTCAGCAAACTGTTTAAAACTGCATGAGAGGATTCACACTGGAGAGAAACCAGTGAATAAAGTTCATCTTCAAAACCAGCAGATTCAGTGCGATTCAGATCAACTCAAAGATGGAGTTCCTTCCCAAAGAACAATGTCAAACAGTTTTATTCTTGTATTTCATTTTGCTTCTTGATATAAATGTAATTTTATAATTTTAGTTTTAATATCTAAAAGCCATGAAGTATTATAATTGCTTTTGGGGCTTTTAAATTTCTCAATTGAGCTTTTATTTGCCTAATTAACTATTTTACTCCACACATGACTGAGATTGAATGAGTTTGTCTACATTAGCAACCCTTCTTCTTCTTCTTCTAATGGTGGGCGGTCGATCCTAATATCAATAGTATCTATACCAGCATTGGTATGGTATCAGATCGATACTAGTGTGGTGGAATGGATGTTGCAACCACAACCCCCTCTGCTGAAGAACAGGAAGAACTCTCTACGGGTTAATGATTGTCTTGATTGCACCAAGATAAAAGCAGAGCGTGCCAGTTCCGTAGCGAGTATTCAGCTATTTTCCCGCATCTCCCATTTTCTTTTGTGTTGTTATCTTCACGTCGTGCATTAAAATCGTTCAGTGTACAGCTAGCCGTGCATTATCCCTTATGTATTCGCTCTTTAGCAGCAGTTTTTTACAGCAATATTTAAATGACACCCTGGTCATTCTTGGCGTACCCAAAATGGTCCCACACTATGGACAGGCATTTCTCTGGTGGAAATAAAGCTTGGCTGTTTGGTCCCTCTGTCAGTTCATCTAATGCATGTAGTAGCCTCGTGCCTCTGATAAGCACGTCATTTTAAGCTGGAGCACCGCTAGTGTAACTTTTTTTGTTTTGCGCAACCTGCAGCAGTTGTTCCGTGTAACAGAAACACTCGGTTTAGCGGAACCTTTACGATTAATTAACCGTGACGTTTTAAAGTGTGGTTAATCGCGAAACCGGTTAATCGCTGCATCCCTACTCCATACAAATTTGGCATGTTTATAGTAAGGTTAGCAGCGGCGAGATGAGAAGAAAGTTCCCTAATTTGTGACAAGTGATCAGTCAGGTATTACTATATAAAACCACATGATCAATGTAGGCCTCACATCTGTGCATCCCATATAAAACACTGTTACCAAGACGCTGAAATGTGTCCGGAGCATTTCGTACTCCAGATGGCATAACTTTATACCATCAATCTGCTTCTGGATGCGTTATATGTCTGTATCTGAGTTTCTCTCAGGTCTGAATGATGTGATTGTGTTGATGTGTGTCGATGGAGACGATTGTGGTGAATGTGGTTTGATTTCAGTCTCAAGCTGAGCACACAGAGCGTCAGATTAAACAGCAGTTTGAGAAGCTTCATCAGTTTCTCAGAGATGAAGAAGAAGCTACAATCACTGCACTGAGGGAGGAAGAGGAGCAGAAGAAGCAGATGATGAAGGAGAAGCTGGAGGAGATGAACAGACATGTCTCAGCTCTTTCACACACAATCAAAGACATGGAGGAGATTATGAAAGCCAGTGACGTCTGCTTTCTGAAGGTCTGATTTCAGATGATTGATTGATTGATGATTGATTGAGTTGTTGATGATCAATGGTGTGTTTGTTCTGCAGGAGTTTCCAGTCTCAATGGAAAGGTGAGTGATCTGCTGCTGTCTCTGCTCTCTCTGCTTCTGATCCAAAGCCACTGCAGTTCTGATCCTGAATGTTCTTCCAGAGTCCAGATCTCATCACAGCCGGATCCACAGACTACTTCTGGAGCTTTGATTCATGTGCCACGTTACTTGGGCAACCTGCCCTTCAGAGTCTGGAAGAAGATGCAGGACATGGTCCAGAACAGTGAGTCTGACTGCAGAAGATCTGAGCTCGCATACACACACACTGGAAATGATGCAATATTGACAGATTTCAGCATTATGTGTGAAGAACCAGATCATCTGCTCCACCAAAATCAGCAGCTCACTTTAGAAAGGGGTTTAAAAAGTACTCAAAAACTGTACTGTACAGACAGACAAACAAAAGTTAAATTTAAAGGGAGAAAAGCAAATGCAGTGGCACAGATCAAACATCTATCTAGTGCAACAACAACAATTAAACTGCAGCACAGTGGAGCAGAAACAAATCCATCCTTCACACCTTAATGCCATCCCATACATGTACCACTTTCTTTCTTCAGATGAACACAGACTAAGAGTTTAGGAAAAATAATCAATCAAAGGCAGTGGCACAGATCCTTTGAATTACTGTAAAAATGTATTTAGCTTCCTTTTAATATGTAGAACTAATTATATTTAATTTTTAGTTTTAGTCATTTGAATACTTTAGTCATTTGATTTATTTTATTTCGAGCCAAAGCAACTTTTCTAATCATTTGATTTTATTTGTATAGATTATCATCTAATGTTTATAATTTATTTTAAGTTGTATTTTAATTACTGAATAATTAAAGAAATAACTGAATAATTTAAGTTGTAGTTTTTGTTAATACCAGCAAGCTTATTATTGTTCTTATTATTATTAATAATGTTTATTATTATTATTATTATTATTATTATTAACATTTATTATTATTAGCATTATTGTGGAATAATATCTAGTGTTTATTTATTAATAATAATAATTAGGCAGCATTCAGTAAAAGCTTTGTGATTCATACAAGAGAAACACTGAGGATTGCAGAATAACTGTATTATTATTATAGTTGATCTCGTTTGAATATGAAATCATGTGTACAGTTCTGTTGTATTAAGATGTTGTATTAAAAGCAGCTTCTGACTATAATGTAATATAAATGAGAGCGTAAATGAAATGAATATGTGTTGAGTTTGTGTCCCTCACTGTTTCTGATGTAACGTTCAGTATTGATAAATCACACAGAGAATGACTGACAGTGATGAGAGGAACATGTCTGATGTGTTTGATCATAATTCATAATCATCTGTGTTGTGTTCACTCTTGATCATTATATGAACATCAGAATAACAGCATCTGTTGATTGTGTCTCTTCAGCGCCTGTGATTCTGGATCCAAACACGGCTCATCCACGTCTCGTTCTGTCTGATGATCTGACCAGTGTGAGAGTCAGCGGTTATCAACCTGTTCCTGATAATCCCGAGAGATTTGACTGGTATCCCTGTGTTCTGGGTTCAGAGGGTTTTAACTCAGGAACACACTGCTGGGATGTGGAGGTTAAACAGAGTAAACACTGGAGTCTTGGAGTAACTACAGCATCAGACGAAACCTACGCTCCCTTTCCCCCTCCCATCTTTCCTCCGTTGTATCCTCCTCTCTTCCCTCCCCTACCCATTTCTCATCTCTGGATGTGAATGCAGCAACTGACACTTTATGTTCTACTTTAACCTCTTGTCTAGATGATATTTGTCCTCTCTCCTCCAGGCCAGCACGGGCTGTCCCCTCGAACTCCTGGTTATCCGATGTTCTTCGTGAACATCGGACCAAACTCAGGGCAGCTGAGAGAAAATGGTGCAAATCAAAAGATCCGTCAGACCTCAGTATGTATCAGTCTTTGCTTTCATCTTTCTCTGCTGAAGTCCATACTGCCAAATCTTCATACTTACACAACAAGATCAAAAGCGCTCCAGACGCACGTAATCTCTTCAAAACTTTCCATTCTCTCCTCTGTCCCCCTCCACCACCTCCTACCACTTCTATAACAGCTGATGATTTTGCCACATTCTTCACAGACAAAACCAGAACAATTAGTAGCCAATTCTCAGCCCCACACACACAGGACTTCAAACCAACCCCACCCACTGCAAAAACTCCCATCTTCTCCTTCTGTCCCCTCACTGAGACAGAGGTATCAAAACTTCTGCTCTCCAGCCATCCTACAACATGCCCTCTAGACCCAATCCCCTCGCACCTCCTCCAAGCAATCTCTCCTACACTTTTACCAGCACTCACACACATCATCAATACATCTCTCCTCACAGGCACCTTCCCCACTGCATTCAAGCAGGCTCGGATAACCCCACTGCTCAAAAAACCTACATTAAACACTTCACTTACAGATAGCTACAGACCTGTCTCTCTCCTTCCATTCATAGCGAAAACCCTCGAAAGAGTTGTTTTCAACCAGATATCATTGTTTCTTTCACAGAACAACAAACTGGATCCTAACCAGTCAGGTTTCAGGAGTGGCCATTCAACTGAGACTGCGCTACTGTCAGTCACAGAAGCCTTGCGGATTGCAAAAGCTGATTCCAAATCATCAGTCCTTATTCTGCTGGATCTTTCTGCTGCTTTTGACACTGTCAATCATCAGATCCTCCTGTCTGCCCTCTCTTCAATGGGCATCACAGGGATTCCACTTCGCTGGTTTGAATCCTATCTCACTGGTAGGTCTTTCAGGGTGTCTTGGGGAGGGGAGGTATCCAAAGCACATCAACTTGTCACTGGGGTTCCTCAGGGATCAGTTCTTGGACCCCTCCTCTTCTCCATATACACAACTTCACTGGGTCCCATCATACAGGCACATGGCTTCTCCTACCATTGCTATGCTGATGACACACAGCTCTATCTCTCATTTCAACCAGATGATCCGACGGTAGCTGCACGGATCTCAGGCTGCCTGGCAGACATCTCGGCATGGATGAAAGAATATCACCTACAGCTCAACCTGGCAAAGTCTGTGCTTCTTGATTTATCTGCCACTCCAACTCTACAGTATGATTTTTCCATCCAGCTAGGTTCTTCTACAATTACCCCATCAACTTCGGTCAGAAATCTTGGTGTAACTTTTGATAACCAGTTGACCTTCAAAGACCACATTGCAAAGACCGCTCGATCTTGCAGGTTTGCATTGCACAACATCAGAAAGATCAGGTCCTTTCTAACGGAGCATGCTGCACAACTTCTTGTCCAGGCCCTTGTCATCTCTAGGCTGGACTACTGCAATGCTCTTCTGGCTGGACTCCCATCAAGCACAATCAAACCTCTACAAATGATTCAGAATGCAGCGGCACGACTGGTCTTCAACGAGCCCAAAAGAGCCCATGTTACACCTCTCTTTATCTCCTTGCACTGGCTACCGGTTGCGGCCCGAATCAACATTAATGCATTAATGCTTGCATATAGAACAGCCACAGGCTCAGCACCCGCCTACTTCCACTCACTACTACGAATTTACCAGAAGTCTAGAAGTCTGAGATCCGCTAGTGAGCGACGCCTCGTGGTACCATCACAGAGAGGCTCAAAATCACTTTCCAGAACATTCTCGTTCACCACTCCTGGCTGGTGGAACGATCTTCCCACCCCTATCCGGAATGCTGAATCCCTGACAATTTTCAAGCGACAGCTGAAAACTCATCTCTTTCGAAGCTACTTGACTTCATCATAAAAAAAAAAAAAAAGTATCTCTCCTTTTTTTTATTCCTTCTCTTTCTAGCTTGTACTTATTTGAACAATGTCTAAGAACTTGGTATTACAACCACTTCTTGTGTCTGTTTGCCTCTTTAAGAAGAATCGCTTTATGTATCCCCCAATTGTAAGTCGCTTTGGATAAAAGCGTCTGCTAAATGACTAAATGTAAATGTAAATGTACCATTTATTAATATGTAAACTATTGTTTTCAGTGAACATCTATTATTATTTAAGTTTTCCTGGGTTTTGTGTTACTGCATCAAGTTTACACACACCGCTCAAAAATGACCCATCTATGAAAAAAGCGTGAGAAAAGAATAGACAACATTTAGTTCAATAATGGTCTGTTTTTAGTAAATGAATGCACATGCTGCAGAATCAAGGAATGAACAGATTTCTGTGGATTCCTGCTCATGTAGGAATAGAGGGAAACGAGCAGAAAGCTGAATAAAATGCAATCCTGTTGAAATCACAATTCCCACGAGCTAATCTTAAACTAAGGCAATTATTAGAAAAGCTAGGATTAATCTATGCAGCAAATGTGGGACAGAGAAACAAAGGGAAGACATTTCTATAGGATTGAAGGAAATGTGGGTAAAGAAAGAGGATTCACAACAATATGAAGAAGAATCAGTTATAAGAAGATCACGTATAGGTCATACTGGACTTAATGGTGACTTATATCAAATAAAACAGCAGCACAATGGGTTATGTGCAGTTATTGTAATGCAGAAGAGACAGCTGAACAGCTCTTATTATATTGTACAGAGTATAAACATCAAAGACACGTGTTGTTTATACAATTAACATTTTAAATGTCAGTAAAAATCTGTTGGCAAGGAAACAAGGCACGAAAGAAGAGCTGTTGCAATATATAAAAGCAACAAGATTGTGTTTGAGAATATAATTAAGCCATGAAAGAGTGTTATTTATGTGTTTAGTTATAATTATCTGTATTTAGTCATTTATGTGTTTATATATTTGTATGAAGTTTTTTTTGTATTAATTAATGAATTTATTTATTTTTTTAATAATTTATGTTAGTGAGAGTCCTTCCTCATCGCTGCTCCACACTCCAGCTCAGTTGGTGGCGGTGATGCTCCTAATAGCTGGTTTGCCAACCGCCAATAAACAAAAGAAGAAGAAGAAGAAGAAGAAGCTGTAGCGTCGAGTCTTCTGAGGAGAGGTGAGCAATTCTCCGTTTTTCACTGTTTAGACCATTGTAAACTACACTTTACACAGTTTGTTTCTGCAATACTCTGCGAGGAGGCAGTTTCTGGCTTGTTTTAATGGAGTACAGCGCTGTTTGAACACTTAGATCAGCAGACAGCAAGCATGATGTGAGGAACACAGGCTAAATTAATTCAGAGCTGAGTGATTTTGTGTTTTATATGTTCGTGTGAAGGATTGTTTCAGTGCTTGGAGTGATAATGTTGCTGTTACTGATGCTGATCTGTGAGGGGAATGGATGCAGAACAATATCAATATTGCTGCTGCGGTTTTATTTGGTATTTCTCTCTTGATATTTAACTTTGGCAGATCACATTTGTTATAGTAGTTTGAGAGCGTAACTATGTCCAGTCATTTATTCAAATAGATGATTTTTTACAATGTTGTAGTGAACGCTAGTGGCCAGATTGACTTACTGAATGTGATCTACTACTTTTACTGAGAGAGAGAGAGAGAGAG